GGGCAGCTTTGACACTTCTGGGTTTTAGCTCTGTGGCCTGCGAAGAATGCTAGGTCAGGCTCCCTTTTTACGGAGGGCGCCACTGAGTCACGGGCACCTTCAAAAGCCCCATTCTTTACCCACCCAGAGAAATTCCAGGAGGACGTGAGGAACCTCTTGTCTCCCAGTGCCAAAGCTGGAATGTTCTCAGTCCAGCATGCATTTCCCTCCTTTCCCCAGTTGAAAAAAAAAGAGAGGCTTTAGGGTTCCGGATACACAACCGGTACGGTTGGAACGGGCCCGGCGTCACACAATAGGACGTGCGCGCATGCATTGTAGATGCCAGCGACGCTTCCGCCAGCCTCCGCCATGTTCCAGCTGCTCATCGGAGCGTCGTGCAGGCGCTGTACACGCCATGTGTGTGCGCGGAAGCGCCGAAGGCTTTAAAGGACAGGTAATGAGCTCGGGCGGGCAGGTGGGCCCTCCGGAGCACCGTACCGGAACGGTACCTGGTGCTTCGGACAGGCTCCGGTACACCCGTACCGGGGCGTCCTGCCTGCAACCCACCACTGGCTTTAGGGCAGAGATGACTAACCTTTTTCTCATGGTGTGCTGAGAGCGTGCTTGCACCCATAATGCAATGCATGTGTCCCCCACCCCCATGCTCCCCCGCCCCTCCGCGCATGTGCATATGAAGCCCCATTGCTCCATTTTGGGCCTAGTAGGCTTCCCTGGAGCTTCTTGGGAGCAAAAATAGGCCATGGGAGCTCGCACTGCACTCCCCCCCACATGCATATACATTTCCCGCATGCGCCCTACCCCCTGCGCATGGACACCAGAGATCCCAAAATCAGCTGGCCGGTGGGAGGCACGTATGTGTGCGACCTGTGGCACATGTGTCATAGGTTTGCAGTCATGGCTTTAGGAGTTGGGTGACCTTCCTTACAGAAGCAGAGGGCAGATGAATCCCCCCCCTCCCCGATCTCAGCTCTGCCTTCTGATTTCAATAGGTCTCAAAGTCTTTGTAGATTATAATCTACAAAAGAGCCGAGGTGGCGCAGTGGTTAGGGTGCAGTACTGCAGGCCACTTCAGCTGACTGTTAAGCTGCAGTTCGGCGGTTCAAATCTCACCGGCTCAAGGTTGACTCAGCCTTCCATCCTTCCGAGGTGGGTGATATGATGACCCTGACTGAGGAGGCGATATGCTTACTCTGTAATGCACTTAGAGCGAGACTAAAACCCTA